ACCGCACAATTGTTATGGAGACAAAACCCTGCCTTCACATTGAGAATTCCCTCCATCGTGTTGTGTGGCACTATCGCTGTGCTAAATGGGACAGACTTCGAACAGATCTAGAAACTCAAGACTGGGCATCCATGAGGTGCTGTGGGCCATCAACAGCAGCAGAATTATACTCGAGCACAATCTGCAATCTCATGGCCCCCACTCCCATCAAGTGAAGGGATCAATACTAGTTAAAAAAAAAATACCTGCAGATGCAGGAAATCAGAAGCAATCACAGAAATGGCTGGGAAAATTCAGAAAGTCTGGCACCATCTGTGGAGAGAAAGCAGAGTTAACTTTTCAGGTCCAGTGATCCTTCTTCAGAACTTCAACCCTGGTTCAATGGAGAGTACAGGAGGGCCTCCCAGGAGGCATCGGCTGTGCTTAAAAATGAGGTGTCAACCTGGTGAAGCTACCAAACAGGACTACTTGCATGCCAAACAGCGTAAACAGCAGCTGATAGATAGAGCTTAGCGATCCCTCAACCAGGATCTAATGTGTAAGCTCTGCAGTGTGCCACGTCCAGTCGAGAATGGTGGTGGACAATTAAACAACTCACTGGAGGAGGAGGCTCCACAAATATCCCCATCCTCAATGATGGAAGAGCCCAGCACATCAGTGCAAAAGATAAGGCTGAAGCATTCGCAGCAATCTTCTGCCAGAAGTGCCGAGTAGATGATCCATCTCGGCCTCCTCCAGTGGTCCCCAATATTGCAGATACCAGTCTTCAGCCAATTCGATTCACTCCACGTGAAATCAAGATAAAGTTGGAGACACTGGATACAGCAAAGGCTACCGGCCCTGACAATATTCTGGCAATAGTACTGAAGACGTGTATTTCAGAACTTGCCGCTCCCCAAGCCAAGCTGTTCCTGTACAGTTACAACACTGACATCTACCCAATAATGGGGAAAATTGCCCACGTATGTCCTGTACACAAAAAGCAGGACCCAAATCCAAACCGGCCAATTACCGTCCCATCAGTCTACTCTCCGTCATCAGTAATGTGATGGAAGGTGTCATCAATAGTGCTATCAAGCAGCACTTGTTCAGCAATAACCTGCTGAGTGATGCCCAGTTTGGGTTCCGCCAGGGCCACTCAGCTCCTGATCTTATTACAGCCTTGGTTCAAACATGGACAAAAGAGCTGAATTCCAGAGGTGACAGTGACAGCCCTTGATATCAAGGCCGCATTCGACCAAGTGCGGCATCAAGGAGCCCTGGCAGAACTGGAATCAATGGGTATCAGGAAGCAAATTCTTTGCTGTCATACCTGGTACATAGGAAGATGGTCGTGGTTGTTTGAAGTCAGTCATCTCAGCTCCAGAACATCTCTGCAGGAGTTTTTCAGGGTAGTGTTCTGGGCCCAACCCAATGACCATCCCTTCATCAGAAGTGGCGATGTTTGCCAAAGATTACACAAGCAGGCCCAGAGCCTGCACCCTTGGCAGTAATGGTGACTGCAGCGGGGACTCCTGGCAGTGGTAGGCCTGGAGGCTGCACTGTTTGTGGTGGCGGCAGAACCAGGGTTTCCTGGGGCATCACCATCATTTTTGCTGTTCCCAGAGCAGGACTCCTTGAGGCCCACCTTGCAGAAGCCCTGAAGCCATGCTTGAGACCCTAATGCGAACAGAAGATGAACTCTTATTTAAGTCATCCCTTTTTATCCTTATTGTAACTCAAAATGGTGCTGGATTGTGGTGACAAAACACTTTTCACTTTATCTTCAAGATATAAATGACAATAAATTATTCATTCATTCATCCATTCATGCTTCCTCAGATACTGAAGCAGTCCATGTTGAAATGCAACAAAGATGTGGAGATGCTGGTGTTGGACCGGGTTGGGCAAGGTCAGAAGTCACGCAACTCCAGGTTATAGTCCAACAGGTTTATTAGAAATCACAGGTTTTTGAAGTGCTGCCCCTTCGTCAGGTGAAGTACACAGACACATAACTTATAGGCAGAGAGATCATACAATGGTGTGAGTAAAGTGTCAACAATTGATTAGCAAGTGAAGGGATGACCTACAATCCAATTAATTGAGGCTGAGATAAGATGGTGCTGGAGTCAAACCAAATGGCTGGAATAACATGCTAGGTATAAGCGTCGCATGCCCGAGGGGCTAACCAAAGTAACAAGTTATCTAAAACTATACAAACTAATTAGGATAGTGAGATCATAACAAGTTATCAAGTTGATGGTGTCAAAACAGGACAACAAAGAAGATTTTACAGAAACAGAACAGTATGGTGGGGTCACATGTAGTGCAACATGAACTCACGATCATGGTTGAAGTCGTCTTCGTGGGTACAGAACTTGGCTATCAATTTCTGCTCGGCAATTCTGCGTTATTGTGTATCTCGAAGGCCACTATGGAGGATGCTTACCCGAAGATCCGTGGCTGAATGTCTTTGATTGTTGAAGTGTTCCCCCACTGGGAGGGAATATCCCTGTTTGGCAATCGTTGCCCAGTGTCCATTCATCTGTTGCCATAGCATCTGCATGGTCTCGCCAATATACCATGCCTCTGGGCATCCTTGCCTGCAGCGTATGAGATAGTCAACATTGGCCCAAGTCACATGAGTATCTGCTGTGCACATGGTGGGTGGTGTTCGCACGTGTGATGGTGGTGTCCATGTTGATGATCTGGCATGTCTCGGAGAGGTTGTTATGACAGGGTTGTATACTGTTGTGGTCGATGTTGTCCTGAAAACAGGGTAGTTTGCTGTGAACAGTGGTCTGTTTAAGGTTTGGCAGTTGTTTGAAGGTGACAAGCAGAGGAATAGGGATAATCTTGGTGTGATGTTCATCATCATCAATGACATGTTGAAGGCTGTGAAGAACATGGCGTAGTTTCTCCACTCCGGGGAAGTACTGGATGACAAAGATACTCTATTGGTTGCATCTTATGAGTCTTCTGAGGAAGTCATTGCAGTTTTTCACCGTGGCAGCTCAGAACTGGCGATCAATGAGTCGAGCATTGTATCCCATTCTTATGAGGGCGTCTTTCAGTATCGTTAGGTGTCTGTCGCATTCCTCTTTGAGCAGATCCTACATATGCGCAGGAATTGTAGGGACAGTACTTCCCTGGAGCACTACAGAAATTCACCAACAATCTTCAGATTGTATCTTCGAAACACACATTTCCATCTTGGACAAGGGCAACAAATAAATGGGAATACCAACATCTGCAAGTTCCTCTCCAAGCCATTCACCTTCCTGACTTAGAAACATATCACCATGCCTTCACTAGAACTCCTTCCCTATTATCTTCTCAAGGGTAATTAGGGTCAGGCAATTAATGCTGGCCTACAGAAATGCCCATGTACCACGAGTGAATACACAAATGCTCCTACCTGTGCACTCTGCCCTTACAATTTTGAAAACTTCCATCAGTTCTTCTCGGCCATTTTCTCTCTCAAGGTCAACAATCCCAACTTTTCCAATCTATTTGTGTAAGTTTCTCATCCCTGAGACCTTCCTTGTAAGCTGCTTCTCCACTTTCTCCCAATGCATTTCATCAATGTTAAAGTGTGGCACCCGGAACTAATACTTGAGTTGAGCTCTAACTGGTGTACTATATTAGCTCAGAATAACTCCTTACTCTTATACACCATGTCCCTATTAATGCACCCTATAATATGGCATGCTTTATTTGGTCTACTTGTCCTGTCACCTTTAATGACTTATACAGGCATATACCCAGGTGTCTTTGTTCCTGCACACCATTTAGAATAGTACCATTTATTTTGTATTGTCTCCCAATGTTCTTTTATCATGTACCACTACATGCTATTTCACCTTGAAATTCATCTGCCACCTATATGTCCATTCCTCTACTGTATCAGTGTCCTTGTTCCACTTCAATCAAACCACCATGTCTTACACCCAGTAGGTCACGAAACTCTACAGTAAATGTTTATAATTGCAAGCTTGGAACAAGTTCACTGCTGAGTTGTTTCTATGACAAAAACTTTGTACATGGCCTGATTCACAGTCCAATACTAAGGCCACTGCTGAACAGCTGGCTCCTATTTTTCAACTTCCCTGGCTTGAATGGCCTGACCTAGCACTGCTGTCTGGTCACAGGAGTATCCAGCACATCAAAATGCTGTCCTAGGAAAGGCTGTGAACAGAGATGCATGTAAACCTAGATGCATGCATACCCAGAGTTCATAAAATTATGAAATGGGTTCGGCACAGATCGAAGTCATTCATCCCAATTTGTCATTCTGTTTCACCAGGCCAGAGAACAATAAGGAACTGTCTCTGCATCGCTCCAACTACATACAGGAAACAAACCATTACCTGGGGTAAAATGGTAGCTGCCATTGCAGTTCTGTGAATGAGTGGAAATAAAAGTGGGCATTTTTGAAGAACAGCAGTTCCTCCTAACATCATTAGTCTTATCTTGGAGCACAAAGTGTTTCAGTCTTTCTAGGGGCATAACATGAAGTCTTCAAGTACATATATAAAGTAGAAATCAAAGCTCCCATTAATTTTCAATAAACTTAAACCATTCCTGCAATAAAATATTGCTTTCCAATTCTATATTCATCCAGTTGAGCAGACTTAATGGGCTGAATGGCCTACTTTGCTCCTATGTCTTATGGTCTTACATCTCTTAAGGAAATCAAAAGTTATAGGAAAAAGGCAAGAAAGTGGATCTGGGCATTATCAGACTTGCCATGATCTAATTATTGCACGCTCTGCCATGCAATAGCCGATAGCCAAATGTCCTACTTATGTTCCTACATCTTATGGCGTTATAGGCAAAAAAGTAGCAACAGCACAAAGCAGCAGGTCCGTTCCAAATTTCTGTTCAAACAAAATTCAAACAGGGCAGACAAATGAACAACAAGATCAAATTGAGCAGAGTGCTCTAAATTTCCAGATGACTTATGGTCTTGATTTGAATATTCCTGCTGTAAGATGCAAAGAATATACTGAAACAAAGAATGATTATTCTAATTTGACACATTTAATAGTGCACTTGATGGTTATAACTGTACAGACAAACAAAGATATAAACACTTTCTTGGTTCTTTATGTCTTAGCATTTGGAGAGTAAAATATTTACAATTTTTAAAAAAGAGGTACAAAAAAGTATAATTGAGGTATAAATATGTGAATATTTAAATAATTAATAACATGCGTTATCCCTATTTGGCAGTATGCAGCTAGACATGAACAGAAGTTTACAATACAATGGTATATACAATGACATCAAATTCTACAAATATCAATTGAACTTTGGTAACAAACACACAGAAAGTAAGCGTTTTAAAGTGAAGGGATAACACTGAAATAATTATTGATATAATTGTTCTTATTGCCACAAATTTTACTAAAAGCTCTTTACATAACACTGAAAGGTAAATATTTTAAACCATATTAGATAAATCCTTCTTTGATTTTCTGCTCATTAAGGGCTCCAGCACCCATATATTAAAAAGGGTCATTGAGTTCCCAATAGCAGTTTTGTATTAACTTTTAACTACATTCCATTTAAACCCTCAAACAAATAGTAATCTTGCAGTGAAACCTATGTGAAAGACCACCTTTTATATACAGACCACTTGTAATCAGCAAGATTGTTAATAACATCTGATGATTGGTAGGTGAGAATGAAAACAAAACAAATAAAACAAAACCAGATTAAAAATTTAACTTTAAAAGTTATTTTTAACATGTTAGAATAGTTTCACGAGAAAGAGTTTGGGATTTTCCAATTACGTACTATTACAAATATTATTTGATAACATGTAAATGACATACTCCAGTAAATAATAGATGGGAACTGAGGAATGTTTATTCTGTTACAAAATGTATTTTACACCCAATAGCACACGTGGTAAGAACTTTGCATATATTACGTAGAACTTTGTCACCCATTTGTGATATAGCCACAACTCAATCTGAAGTGTTTTGCAAATTACAGCTCAGACACATGCCGAGGAACTGTTTTGAAGCAGGCAGGTTGTAAATGTGATATCATATTTGTGAACCCACAAAAACAACAACATTCATGCCACAAATCACTAATTAAAATGCTGTATTAACACATGGGTCCTGGAAATAAGGTCCAGTCTGGCAGATATTCCACTATAATATTGGTAGGGCTTTGCCAGACGAGATTCTTCCTTTAGCTGAAGTTTCAGAGAGGGCCCTGTGGGAATGAAGCCTCTGTAAGGATTCTAAATGTTTGGAGTTGTAAACCTCCAACCCTTTTTGAGACCTGGCATGTCGTTGATGCGGGTGAGATCAGACATATTGGTTTTACCACTGTGGGGCCCACCTGAAAATCCTGACTGCAAAAATTCAACAGATAGTTTTGAGTATTTCTTTTATTACCTATTTGGGCTTTGCCTGGACAATGGGCACCATTGGCATGGCTGCATTTATTTCACAATCCCAAATGTGCCAAAATGGTGGTGGATTGAACTTCTTGCAGAAGGGGTATTTGTTGGCCAGTGTGGGACTGGAGGCACACCTAAACAGTACCCATTATGGGTGGCAAGTTCTCTTTGGAAAGGGTCAATCAAGAAGTAGCTGGGTTTTTACTGTAATCAATAGCTTTCATGGTCATTTTGCTCCTTGTGCCAGGCTGAATATTCTTAGAATTAACAAGTTCACTTTTCATAAATTACCCTGCAAAAGGTCCAAAGTCATGACATCAGGATCGTTGATTCAGTACAGTGATCACCGTGTTATCTTACGTTTTTATGGGGTGGGTCCCCTCCAATGAAGGCCACCTATAACCTACTTCCAGGAAGATCTTGGCATATTCCACCTAACGTTAACTGTAGGTGCACCAGATGCACCATGATTGGCACGTACACCACCATCATGACAGTTAAGGAATCTCACCGGAGCCCAAACTTTAGCAGATCAACTGCAGATGGAAAAAGGCGTGTTTCAACATTTTGGGTGAACTATGGTTTCCTGAATTTTGGAGTCATGCAGTTTTTCAGCAAAATCTGTTCAACTGTAGTATAAATAACAGAAAAAAAAATACCCAACACAGTTTTCTGCTTCAGAGGGAATCAAACAGTGAGAAAGAGCAGCGACTTACTCTGAAACTATTTTAGTATTTGCATGTGCTAAAAGTTGCATCTTTTAATAAACAGCACCCTGTTTTATGTAGGTAGAAGAAATTTGTATATGCATTGCATCTCACTCAGGGGCAAGTAAAAGGGGTCATGGAGAATGCCAATCTGCCGCAATCCAATGGCAACACGCTGACCAATCAAAATCTGCCTGCCTGGTCTGAGAATTAAGATTGATAGTTAACTCTTATTGCTGCATCTCCATGCCAATGATGGCCTAACCAATCAGCACCCTTTTCTCATGCTGCAAAAGTTGGTGAACGCTTATTTTCAAGCCTGTTTCTTGTATTGTAATTCTGATGAATGCAAGATGAAAAGCTTTGAATTCTTTCTCCTGACTGCTCATGAAAAAGTTAACATTTCACAACATAAAAACCAGAGCATCAGGTCCCTTATAATTTACAACATTTGGCCTAGAATTTTTTGTTTCTTGGCAATTTCTAATATCACTTTTGAAGGATGCAACACTTTTCACTCCACGGCATCAGCAGTTTTTCAATGTTATTGTCTGCCTGAGAGAGGACAAACTCCACACTGATTGTTAAAAACATAGTACAGTGTGGTTGTATATATTCATGTTCTGTTGTAGTAAATGCCACTGTTTAAAAGATGCATTTTTGTCCCCGTAGGTTTTAGGACCATGTAAGCCCTCATTTAGTGAGAAATGCAAAGGATAAGGATATCACTCATTAATCAAAAAGAGCCTTTCCACATTTAAAAAGTAGCTGGAGTCCAGCTATGAGTTTAAGAGGGATTGTCAAAGCTCCTACATTATTTTAATCAAACACTCTTCCAATCCCTGACAGTACAGACTGGATTGTGTTATTGGGAGATAGAAGTGGTAACCTGTTAGAATCCACAAAGAGGTAAAATGAAGTCCTGGTGGGAAAAAAATGGCTCTAAAGTGGTCTTCATTGTCTTTCACTTAAATACCATATTGACAAACTTAACTTCACTGGAAACTCTTAGGTTGATGGACATTATTCTGCCATGGCAGTGCCTTCCAAACAAGCAGTGTACCAGACACCGTTCCTTACCCATTCTCTCACATTTCAGCTCTTCAGAAACACACGCTCAAGCACACTGCTCCAGATGCACCATAACTGAACCAAGCAAGCACAACAGCAATACACAACTCTGGAAAATATAGCAGTAGGTCATAGACTATGAAGATATAGAATGAAATATAAAAATAGCAAATCACGTGAACACACCCCAGGTTATTCTTTATACACACATGACTTATATTACACAAGATGCTTAATGCTTCATAGAAGCAATTGTGGCCCCTAAACAAGCGAGTGCAAACCATTTTTGCACTTCACTTTTTCAAAGGACCACTAGTCCCATCCAACTATTCCAGTAAAGGCCTATATAACAGCCATCATGTTCGAATCAAGCAGCTTTTTGAAAGTATATCGCTACAGTCATAATTACGAATTCTATTAAAAATAAAATAATTAATTCCAAAGATCTGATTGTGTAGGCCTCCATTATAAATGTATAAATTTGGGTCCACCACAGTTTCCTTGGAAGGGATGGTTGTTCTTTGCAGCCCTGTGCTTCAGAGTTAAGATGTAAGCTGTTTGGAAGTTGTTTCCTAATGCTTGCTTTCTTGACTGTCGGAGCCAGGAATATTAAAAGAGTCTCGTATTCTACCAATTTCCACTGCGCACAAGTGTCCAAATGCTTTATTGTACCATTCTGGCATCCGTCCCCTGAAGCAAAGGATAAAAAGAATAGAAAATGTTATGTAGAATTTATTACACTGGTTTAGAAATTAATGTGCTTAATTTAAAAATAAATATTTTGCAGTGACAAAAACAAGTAATAAAAGTCAGCAAACTGTTCTATGGCCTTGTCTTTGTAATTTAAGGCAGTCCAGACTCTAATAGCCGGGTTAAGAGGTAATTGAGGTTGTTCTACAGCCTTCAGGGTGGCCCAGCTCAATTGGCATTCTCGCCCTCCGCGCTGTAGTTGCTCCACTACTGAGCATAAATGGAAGAAGATGCTATGCCACAACTTCGTGCAGCAAGTCACAATTTAGTTCTGGTTTTGGACACGTTACATTCACCAGGAAAGGCCAGCAATCAATGTAGCTTTGCAATGGAATTTAGGTGAAATCACAACTTGTTTGGTTGAGTTAATACATTATTACTGCAATTCATCTTTGTTTCTCTTGGTGCCGCCATGAACAATGTGCGTCTAATGGATTGTGCTTTTGCTTGAAGAATACGAGGTTCACTGAAAACTGTTCCTGTAAAAATGCTTAGGATCTAAGGTCAAATTGCTTCTGCCCTATATGAAAAAAAAATTGGACATTAAAGCTAGTAAATTTTTGCAGTGTATCTTTTCATTGTGTTGCATTCATATCGGATGCGAATCAACATGCTAACTGATTGAATGTTTATCTATTAAAGATCCTTGTTTCATTTGAATGTAGGAAGGAGTCTGTTTCAATGTATGTGTTGTAGGAAGTGGGCAGAAAGCTAGTCTGATCAGCTACAGCATTCATACAGCACAGGCCAGAGATATAGCTCCTACTATTAAATTCACACTGTAATAAAGATACCAGTCAATACCTTGTGTCTATTCGACACATATAGATGAGCTTGGATTTTCCTGACCCGCAGGGTTCGATTAGATATCGTGAGGTAAGAGCATTAGCTCGGACTCCTCCAACTACAGGCGTCCCATTGTGCTCCACTGAAGTGGCCACCAATGCACAGCACCCCTTGGGTAAGTTGGTCCTCCAAGTCCTGAAGAAAAATGAAATAAATTTGAAATGCAGATGATAAATAGAGGGAATGCAAGGTAAAATCAAATATTCAAAAAAACTGCATTTCTATAAACCATAAATATAACAGGCCAGATCTTCCAATGTCAAAAGCAGCAAATACTGAAGTATGCGTACAGTGGTGCTTTGGTAGCCAGTGGAAATCCTGACCCACGCAGGAAGTTTAAGTTCAGGTGGATTGATGCTCACTGCCCTGGACCCTCTGAGACTGAGCTCAGGTTTGGAGATTTGGGCTAGATTTGTGATACTTACTTAGATAGTACCCACAGTCTTATCCCCTTGTTTAACTTCTGGTGTAACTCAGTGAATAACAGAGTAACCAAACCAACAACCCGTCCCCAAATGAACTCCTCAATCCCTACACTCACACTCAACTGCCCCCTGACCTGACCTCCTATCCCCTCAGCTAATACCCACCTCCCCAACCCAACAAATATCCTCCCACTTTGTCAGCCCCGAACCAGCCCCACACCCCATCAAATATCCTCCCACTCGCTTAGCCCCGACCCAGCTCCCCACCCCAACAAATATCCTCCCACTCCCACAGCCCTCGCCCAACCCTCCACCCCAACAAATATTCTCCCACTCCCTTAGCCCTGACCTAACTCCCCATCCCAACAAATATTCTCTCACTCCCTCAGGCCTGATCTAGCTCCCCACCCCAACAAATATCCTCCCATTCCCTCACCAACTCCACTAAATTCCTTGGGGCCTTTGAAAATTTGCCTGAATATGAAAAGAGGGTGGGGGCACATCCTCTCTCTGCGGATGATTGTTGCAAGCAATCGCTTGGGACTGGGGAACCCAGCTGCTAAGATGCAAAATGGTCAGGTAAGAAATATCTTTGCAGCCCGCAGTGACTGTTGATTCCAGCATCGCTGCTCACTGTAAGATCTGGGACACTATTTCTACAAATTATTTTTCATATCTACCCTTCCTTTCTGCAAGAACAGACTCAGGTAGCAGCTCCCCAGGAATCCCCACAATGCCACATTCTTCATGTGCAAACCATGACAGGTTATGCAACAGTGTGGAACATTGTTGCTGATTTGTCCAATGACCACACACAAGTAATTCTGGAGGATTTCACTGGACAGTAATGAAAACTATGGGTTATTATTTTCCAGTTCCTTTGCTCAGCACAATAGAAAAAATTAAAATATCCTTACTCCCACTGAACTGAGACTAACTAACTACACAAACTAAGGATCAAACATGCCTGTTTTGTATGCATTTTTGCAACAAAACAGGGAGTGGGATGAGACGAGAATGTACAGCCATGCTGGTTAATCCAAAGCCTTTTTTGTTTAACCTTGCAAATGATACTTAAAGCAGTTTAAAAATATTTACCTTATAAGCACATAATCTCTGGTCGGGTGTGGGGCCATGCTGGTTTGCACGTAATGATAGATGTCCGTTTGACTATTTAAACTTTCAATGACCTTTGAACTAAGAAGGTCATCGTCCCAGAGTTGGCGATCGCGTACTATCCGCCAGAGAACATCTTCTGGTGCAACAGGAATCTCAATGCAAGCCTTCCACAATTTCAGAGGTGGCCCATCGCATACCTGGTGAAAAGAAGTCGCACTTTAAACCTTTTTTATTCGTCACACACGCAGCCAAAACAAGTGGACTTTTGTAACGTGTCTACATAAACATCCAGTCCCTGAGGTTTTGTAGCTGACTAAGGCCTGGATTTTAGTTCACCACTCGGGCGAGCAGAGTTGTGAGTATTCCTGACTCTGCAAACCTGCCCTTTAAAAAATGGTTGCCTGTTGGGCTCCTTTGTCTGGGGCAGTCCAGGAGCTACATGAGAACTCAGGGTTGGCGACCCTGGAGGGAGAACAGAGGCTGCCAGATGGAGGGCAGAGACTTGGTGGAAGGCCAGCTTCAGTGCACTGTCACTGTATAGCAGTCTCAGCAGAACAAAACATAAAATACAAACCAGTGCTGTCACACTCACAGCTCCCACCCTACTCTTGCCATGCCCCATCCATGCCAACCATGGTCTGTATTCACTGCTCATAAAATCTCACACTCTGCATGCCTACCTAAGCTCCTCCAGCCACCCCCATGACCTCCTTATACTGTTCATGCCAACACAGGCCCCTTTAGCCATCCCCCATGGTCCATTAATAATTTCTGTGGCTACTTAGCGCCAACTTATCCACTCCATTAACTATCTTCTGCCCTCACACTTACCATGCCAACCTGCTTAGTATTTACCATGGGTAGAGCTCAGGAGCCATAAAGAAATGAGAAATGGTTGATAAAAAGTGTGTTGCAGCCTTCTCGATCTTGAAAGAAAACTTTAATTCCTAAACATCTATTGTATTTACATTCCTTCACTAAATAATGCCACACAAAAAAGTGTTCAAGTTCACAACGCCTTATAACAAAAGCATTGGAATTAATTTATTGTGCTACTTCGCAAAGTCTATAACCATTTGGGGCTGTCAATCAAACTGTAAAATGGCAGGCAAGCTACTGTGATACTGGATGGTTGTGAAATCAGTAAGGGAGCAGTAATCCAATAATGGAAACCCTCAGGCTTATTTCATAGGACAGAGGGGAATTGCAAGCAATCTTTTTTTAGTACTCCAAACAGATTTTTTTTCCAATTCTTTAAAGGGCAGGCTGTTTAAATGCTTTGTCAGTTGCTTTTAACAGGTCCTGTTGATACTTTTGACAGGTCCTCTTGACCATTAATTTTGATTTTGACAGCTTTGCTGACAGTTACAGGCAGCTTCACAGTTAACTGATTTATGCATATTCATTTCTACATTTAACCATTCTAAATAGTACACCTTGCCTAACCAAAATCCCTTAACTACACTGACAGATGTTCCGGGACTATGTTGAAAGGGGTCCCTTTCTGAAGGAGCACACTGGCTATCCAAAGAAATGTCTAAAGTTTAGAAGTGCACTTGTCAGGACCCCCACCAGCACTGTTATGTTCTTACTCCCCACCCACTCCCCCATATCTGTACCCCATTTTAATATTGTGCTTCTTCTCTGCACATGCACTGTGCAGCCTTTGCATATACCATCATACATTTACTTCATGTGATGTGGAAGACCCTGAAACACGAACATGTGAGTTTCTGATTAGTGTGCTTCTGTGGGCGTCAGCAAACAACAGTAAAACAGTAAGTACCTTCTTGTAGGCCAGGTCTGCTGATTCTGATGTTGAACAGTTGACCCAGCCCTTGAATTTATCTTTAGCCTCCTTCAGCAGACTATCGATGTCATTCTGCAGATAAATTTGGAAGTCTGAGGGCTCATCCTGGCTGGTTTGGCCCAGCTCTTCCAAACTAACTGGCTGCAAATCCTGCTCCATATAAGAGTTACGGCAGTGGCTCATCATTTCCTCTGGAATCTATGGCAAAAAAAAAGTCAGGCTAAATACACTATCAACACATGTATATACTCGTGCTCCCACGAGGAGCTCGAACAGTTCATCCACTTCACCAACACCTTCCACCCCAACCTTAAATTCACCTGGACCATCTCTGATACCTCCCTCTCCTCTTGGACCTCTCTATTTCCATCTCTGGCAACCACCTGGAAACCGATATCCATTTCAAGCCCACCGACTCCCACAGCTGCCTAGAATACACCTCCTCCCACCCACCTTCCTGCAAAAATGCCATCCCCTATTCCCAATTCCTTCGCCTCCACCGCATCTGCTCCCAGGATGAGGCATTCCACTCCCGTACATCTCAAATGTCCTCATTTTTGAAGGACTGCAACTTCCCCCCCTCAGTGGTTGAGAACGCCCTCGACCGTGTCTCCTGCATTTCCCACAACTCATCCGTCACACCTCCTCCCCGCAATAACAACCAAAACAGAATCCCCCTCGTCCTCATGTACCCACCAACCTCCGGATCCAACGCATCATCCTCCAACACTTCTGCCATCTGCAATCTGACCCCACCACCAAAGACATCTTTCCCTCCCCACCCTTATCTGCTTTCCGGAGGGACCACTCTCTCCGTGACTCCCTTGTCCGCTCCACACTTCCCTCCAGCCCCACCACACCCGGCACTTTTCCCTGCAACCGCAGGAAGTGCTACACCTGCCCCTACACCTCCCCGCTCACCCCCATCCTAGGCCCCAAGAAGACTTTCCACATCAAGCAGATGTTCACCTGCACATCTGCTAATGTGGTATACTGTATCCGCTGTATCCGTTGTGGCCTCGTCTACATCGGGGAAACCAAGCGGAGGCTTGGGGACCGCTTTGCAGAACACCTATGCTCGGTTCGCAATAAACAACTGCATCTCCCAGTCGCGAACCATTCCAACTCCCCCTCCCATTCCTCAGACAACATGTCCATCCTGGGCCTCCTGCAGTGCAACAATGATGCCACCCGAAGGTTGCAGGAACAGCAACTCATATTCCGCTTGGGAACCCTGCAGCCCAATGGTATCAATGTGGACTTCACAAGCTTCAAAATCTCCCCTCCCCCTACCGCATCCCAAAACCAGCCCAGCTTGTCCATGCCTCCCTAACCTGTCCTTCCGCCCATCTATCCCCTCCTCCCACCTCAAGCCCCACCCCCATCTCCTACCTACTAACCTCATTCCGCCCCCTTGACCTGTCTGTCCTCCCTGGACTGACCTATCTCGTCCCTACCTCCCCACCTACACTCACCTTTACTGGCTCCATCCCCGCCTCTTTGACCTGTCTGTCTCCTCTCCACCTATCTTCTCCTCTATCCATCTTCTATCCTTTCTCCCCCCTCTCCCTATTTATTTCAGAATCCCCTTCCCCTCCCCCATTTCTGAAGAAGGGTCTAGGCCCGAAACGTCAGCTTTCCTGCTCCTATGATGCTGCTTGGCCTGCTGTGTTCATCCAGCGCTACACCTTGTTATCTCAGATTCTCAGCATTTGCAGTTCCTACTATCTCTATTTACTTGTGTCGTTTAGTTTAGTACTAAATGATCAACAGTAACAGTGGTTAATCTGTTTTCCTTCTCCTGGTAGCAGGCTAAAGTTATAAGACGTCACAAACTGAGGCCTGAATTTCTGGGGAGACACTAAGTCTTAGCCAAAATGTTTCTACAGCTTGGAATCTAGATACCCTGACGCGAAAGCCAGTATCCACCATTTTTATTGAAGGCAGCTGTGGTTGTTGGAATTATTACAGGGCAGGAGGCAGCCATTTGGCCCATTTAGCCTGTACCAGCTCCATTATCTAGTGCCAATCTCCTGCCTTTTTTTCCCATATGAGAGGTATTTCACATGCTTGCAGTTCATGAAGGCAGAAGCACAATTCAAAGTTCAGCAGCTTTCAATCAGAAGCAATTTTCATGACAGGGAATTCCAAAACACTACTGATCAGCATAAAAGTGAACAATCCACAAACAAAACACACCTTGAAAAGCTTTTTGCACTCAGCGATCATGTGGGCCAGACCTTGCGTAGCAGCCAAATTTTCATTCAGGTCCTTCTGGTCAGGTTTACCCAAACTTTGTTTCCTCTGTATCACTCTGGGATTAAAAAGGGACAACGGTCTCATTAATACATGACGACTAATGAATAATAGCACAGACACCAAGGTGCCAGCACAACTATTTGTTAAACTGGACAAAAGGGTCATTAAACACCGACAAGCCCTGTAAACTTACACAAGGATCAACAATTAGGGCACTCAATTTACATGACACACTTACTTGAAACTAAGTTAAAAATCCTTTCACGCGGATAAACCGACAGTAATTTGTCTCTGCTTCAGGAGCCAACCTGAATGTGACTGGTCTTTAAATTAAATGGTAGACTTTATGGCAAGGTCAAGGCTCTATTTTAATTAAGTTTTCTGAGGCAGTGGATTTGCTTGGGGACAGTGCTTAAAGTGTCATCTTGCAACAGGTCCTTATCAATTTTACTTGCTGGTGGATGACAACATTATAGTTTCACACAATAAATAGTTAGAATGTATGCCATAAAAAAGGCACTTTCAAACTGTTTCAGTTCAGGAATCTGACACGTGTTTTTTTTCAGAGTGGAATTTTCTCCCTTCTCTTGGTGGTGATGTGAATTGGTAGTGAATTTCCCCATTTATGCTGTTTTTTTTCCCAAGTTTTCTACTATTCTTCTTGCTCTAATGATGACTGATCTTCCCCTATATATTGTAGATGTGATATCTCTGAACAGGTTGATTAGAAAAACTTCTATGTAGATGTATGTTACTGGTCTCCCTGTACATCTGTATATGTTTTGCTGTTTTCGATATGCAAATATATTTGCAGGTTTATTATTGATCTTGCCAACTAGCTTTATGTCTCCCATGCTTTTTATTTTCATTTTACTTTATACTATTGTACAAAGTCAAGATCCATCCCAATGTGTATTACAGGACTCCTCGTGTGTGTAACTAATGCAATAGATCTTCCTCAGTATATATGTCATACAGTCACAGAGGTTTACAGCATGGAAACAGGCCCTTCAGCCCAACTTGTCCATGCCTCCCAGTTTTCACAATTAAACTAATCCTATTAGCCTGTGTTTGGTCCATATCCCTCCATATCTATCCCATCCATGTACCTGTCCAAATATTTCTTACACGACTGTATTTTTGACTATTATGATTTCCTACATTTGTATCCAGAAAACTAGGTAATCGATGAACACATATCATTTTCCTTTTCAAATTTAAAGTATACAGAACCTCCAGCCCCAGAAAGAGACCAGTACCTGGGAGATGAGTTTTCTCTCTTGAGTGTGTTGAGGTGAAACAATGAAGGGGCCAGGCACACTGCCAGGTTTGTAGGTGTCATCTGGTTTTCATCCACCACGGCTGTGACATCACTAAGGAAATACAGGAGCGTCTGCAGGGCCTCACGATTCTCATCAGGCAGCAGCATGATGCCAGCCTGGATTGCTTGGAGACGCTGATCCTTTGGGACATCTGCGGCACAACATTTTTTAGTTAGACAACATTTACATTCTGGACTTGAAGCAGGAAATGTTGACGGTGCTTTAAAGGCTATGGAAAGAAAAAATGCATTGTATAAAACACCGGATTGATACAGACAAAAAGGGCTTCACATAAAATGCACTACGTTGAGATGATGACTGTTCGGTGCAGAGTTATGAGTGGGTGCAAGCATCAAAATCCAAAGCTGATAACTAAACAATATCACTCACAGGCTGATAACTAAACAATATCACTCACAGGCTG